CCAATATAACCCCTACATAACCCCCTATAACCCCCCTTTAAAGGGGTCCCTAACCCTAAACTCTACCTAAGGGGGACTCTAACCCATTGGTAACTCCAGGGTCCCTGCAAGTAGCCATGGCCAAGGCTCATTTCTGCATCCCAAAGCACGTCGCGGAGGTCCTGCGTAGGCCCATCCCACTGACCTCCGACCACCTGATGGAACCTTGGGCTAGTAAGTTTAGGGTTTAGGGTTTAGGGATCCCAATGGGGCAGTGGAGGTCTGGGAAAAGGGAGGGGTCACCAAATGAATTGAATCAAGGGACTATGGACATACCTAGATTCCAAGGCAGCATGAGGAGCTGGTGGTGTTGAGGTTTCAACATCTAAGGTTGGTGATGTAGTTCTTTTCCTACTACAGTGCCCAAAGATTTACCAGTCGTAGAAATAATGTATGACGGAGAAGTAAACGGAAAAGAACCTGAGAAATGAAATCGACATTGGGGTTATGAATAAGGGCTTGAGGGAGTAGGCATGGTTTCGTTTTTGTCCAGTGAGACTTTCGCAGCGAAGTACGGATCGGTTGATACTGTTGATCAATGAGATCCTGCAGGATGTTAGGTACATGATTCTCTCCGAAACAATGGTTTCCGATTTGGGTACTTGGGGTTCATGCAGGGTTTCATTCATCAGCAGTATTGTCCTTTTTCTGTTCTGTCGTCTGTGTCCGTTCAGGAGCGCTCTCCGCAGTCGCCCACGAAGCGCATGTTGGACTCCGACGAAGACATGACGACAACAGCCAACACGACTACAGTCAATTCGCCGTGCAGCACAGGCATGCCCAGCTTAGGGGAAAAGTGGGTGCATTTTTTCTGTTTCGGTGTGTTTTGCGGCTTGGGCGAGGTGGTAGTAAGGTACCAAGCGCGTAAAGTACTGGTTCAAAAGGGGTGTCACTCTGAAGTCTGAAGGAACATCCCTACAGAATCTCAGACAAACCTCTGCAGGCGTGAGATGCGCAGCGCTTCTTTAGGTATGTAAAGGCTATGACTATGATGGAAGTGGTTCTGCAAGAGTGCTCGCGTAGCCTCTTGCCTGCAGGGCGTAGTTGTGGCGTAATTTCGAGTAGGCTCGCATAATAGTCTCGTCCGCGTAGTCTGCGTAGTTGGTATGTTTTGTGAGCTAGAAAGGTTCGTGCTGCACAGAATTGTCAATAGCCAAGGAATGCCGCGTAGTCAGCGTAGGCAGCACGATAGCAAGAGTGCTCGCATAGTCTGTTCTGCAGGGAAAGCAGCAATCCGCGTAGTTCGCGTAGGCAGACTATCTTAGCACAAGCACTTTAACCTTCAAAAAGACAATGCTCAGATGTCTCCGAGAATTCAAACATCAGGGCTTCTATTACACAGGGGTTTTTCCCCAAATTAAGAGTACCTTTTTGGGGGTCCTCATAATACGGACTATCGTTTTTCGGGTCCATATTGCGCGCCACCTACTTATGAAAATGGTCACTGGGAGAACTTGGGAGCCCCTAACATAGGCTTCATAATCCTTTGTATTACCTTGATGTTTCTCGTGAAAACTGTTACGAGCCATTCTCCTGAAAATAACTTATGGGGCTTAGCCCTTGCCAGCCCTCAACCTTAATGGAAAAAGCCCTGAGCTTGGGCCGCGGCTCCGAACCTCAATGGGAAGACCCTTGCACCTAGCAAAATTCATCTTAACCTGTACCCAATATAGATTAGGATTATATCCTCCTTTTGGGGTATAGTATTTCATACAAGGGATATAATCTCAATGAAGCACGCCCCGCAAGAAAGATCTGCGAAAGTGGGCGAAGGTGCCGCAAGCGAGGGCGGTGTGTTCCGTGACTACCTGCGGCACATTAACCAGGGCCTGAACCTTGGGAGCACTGTAGTCTCCTTAGGAATAATAATCATGTTTTTATCGTTGTTTAATTTATGGAAGTCTTAAAACTACACAGCAAGGAGGATAGGCTTCAGAAGAAGGCTTGTATGTGCAGCCCAGATGCAAAAAGGAAGGGTGTTTGGCCTTTTTCGATATGCTGTTCGCAGTGCGGCTTTTTGCTGCCCTTCAATGCCTCGTTTGCATGGTCAGATATCTCCAGTAGCCTATCTTAGGGTTCAAGGCTTAGCTTCGTTCATTATTATTAGTTTTACATTTTTTTTTCTTGGTTTTTTTGGGGCCCTTACACAAGGCGGGACAGGAAGAATCGAGAAGTGTTGCTTGCAACGCCAGCCCTTTTCAGGTCGACAAATTTCTACACTTCAGAAGTTTGAGGGTTCAGGGCGGGCAGTAGGGCAAACACCTTACCTTCCCACGGCAGAATGGACCCTAAACCTTAAACACCAAACCCCAACCCTAAACACTAAAACCCTAAACCCTAAACACAAAACCTAAACCTTTAAATCCCTAAAACATTAAACCCGTAAAGCACTAAACCCTATACCCTTAAACCCTAAACCCGGCCTCGAGAGCCTAATTTCTAGAGTGCCTTGCCCCTCTCTGTTCATGCAGGTGTTAGGCAAGCCTGGTCCATGCCCTAAGCTCAAACCGGGAGCCCGCGATGTGGTTTAGGGTTTAGGGTTAGGGAGTAGTTTCCATTTTCTTTTCCATTATCCCAAGTATATCCCCATATAGCTACATGGACACTAAACCCTAAACCCTAAACCCTAAATAGTAGTTTCCATTTTCTTTTCCATTATCCCAATATACCCTAGGCTTTAGGGTTTAGGAAATCCTGAAGCCCTTGGCTTTTGCCCCTCAGCAACTTGGGCAAGCGAGGAATCATGGGGTCCTCAGCTGGTGGGGCGACGCCAGAGCTTCTTGGATGTAGGCGGCTGTCCAACCTCAAGCTGGTGAAGGGCTTTAGGATTTGAACATGAGCTCTCTAGCTCGCCATTCAGTTGGTGCGGCTTGTGTCTTGTGCAGAGCACAGATGTTAGTCTTTCCCGGCAGAGGCGCTGCAGGCCGGATGCAAAAGAGTAGTTCAAACCCAGTTGTAACAAGCACTGATGTCCTGGTTAGAACCATGTAGAGTAGTTCAAACCCAGTTGTAACAGGTACCGATGTCCCAGTTGTAACCACGTGAGGGGACTTAGAAGGCTTACAGTTATGAGTGAGTTATCATTGTCCTGGACCTCTATGCTAGTTTAGGATTCAGGGAGGGTTTCTGGAAGCAGAAGAGTTCAGGGGGGCTCAGGTCCTTCTTGGTAAATAGCTACGGTTGTGGATTTAGGATTTAGGGTTTAGAAGTTTGGGTATGGAGGGGTATTGAAGTTGCAGGGCCTGTGCCGAACCTTTGTTGTCTCGGCTTACCCCCTGGCAAATCATGCATGAGGTGAGGTTTTTGCCTAGGGGCTATGCGGTCCCAATAGGGAAGGTCCTACCCGGAAACCTACATACCTGCGCACATACAAACGTACAGTTTGTTTTGATCGCCTGACCCTTCTGCAACCCTCTGTAACGCGTGCGACAGCCGCCTACCTGAGTCTGAGTTCCGCCGAGCATCCCGTGAGCTCTTATCGAGACTTCACAGTAGACTTGCGGGACCCGCTGCGCAGTTATCATTAACAGTATTAGTAGTATGACTGTTACTATTGCCGTTGATTTTACTATTGCTGTTGCTAATTACTATTGCTATTACTATCACTATTATTATTGGCTATTACTATTATCATTACTCTTACTATCATTGTCTATCGCGAACGATTACTATTACTATTATGATTGTTACTATGACTATTACTATTGGGTTCTACTTTGATGATTTACTATTACTAGTCTGAAACATCATTCTCAGTTTTACTACTACTACTACTACTACTACTATTTTCGTTCTCTTATTTTCCTAGTATTCCTTGAACAGTCATTATGATTTGTAGTTAGTATGGTAATTGATATTGCTATTTACGATTGCCATTATTATTTCTATGACTACTAGATCTAGTATCAATTCTATTCTTATTACGGGTATTATTTTTTATTCTTTACTATCAGTAAATTAATGCTATCAACATTATTGCTACTATCACGGGGAGTTCCTCAACATCATGGATCCCTTCAGGGGGATGCCTAGAACAGGATCCTGATGCATTAGTGTCCACGTTATGCCCCTATACTGAGAAGCAAGTCATCACCAAGTTGTCCTGTTAGTGCCAGGGTGGCTGATAACAATTTTGCTAGCTTCCCGAAACCCTACCCTAAACCCTATGGTAGCCTCCATTTTCTTTTCCATTATCCCTATGGAACCCCAATATACCCCTATTATACTATAGTTCACTTCATGACAAGCTTCATCATCCTACTCGTCGCAGGGCTGAGATTCTGATCATCAATAAGGCTGCTCTTAGTGACGCCCCGAAGAGTTCAGAATTTTTACCGCGTCCTAAGCTCGCAACAACCTTGTTTAAGTCTGTAGGATTTCAAAGCAGTGGTGCAGTCATTTGTTCTTTAGCGGTTCCGACTTGGCCAGCTCAGTGCCAAGCTTTCAATTTTGGAAGAGACTTGAAACTTTTCATGGGAATGCACACCACCGCCACGAAGGAACCCCTGCCCTGACTAACCTGGGCCCTACCTCACGTTTGTAGTGTGTTACAAGAGGTTTCGGGCTTAGGGTTTACGTATTTTTTCTCAAAAGCCCAGGATCAAGGGCTCACACCAGGGGTCGACAGCGCCGAAGGGAGAGGGTTATCGAGGAGGAGTGCATTCCCGTGAACTTTATACATTAAATGCTGTGGCGCAGGGCCTTGACGAGAACTGCTGTCCTTCACCCTCACAGGAGCTTACAGAATTAGGGGGCCAACGTGTAGGTTTTAGGGTTTAGGGATTGAAATGAGGTCTAAAGACAAGTTGAGAATATGGAAAAGAATGTAGGACCCCAAACAGCCACCAAACGCTTGGCAAGTTCTTGCATCTTCAGAGTGGGGCTACCAAATAACCCTACACCCCAAATCCGGAGAATCAAAGTTAAGCCTTAGACCTGGAATCCCAGCACTTGTTGCGATATGAGCTGTAGTCTAAACTCCTAGTATCCCCCTTAATAGCCCCTATAGTAGTCCCCTATATAATCCCCTATAACCAACCCCCTTTAAGGAGTTTAGACTATGGCTCATTTGCCGGGGTGGGGGCTGATGTTGGGTCCCGGGCTGGGGTCTTACTTCGACCCTGGAATGAGCTAAATGAGCCATAGTCTAAACTCCTTAAAGGGGGGGATACATAGGGAATTATATAGGGGAGTATCATAGGGGTTATTAAGGGGGATACTAGGAGTTTAGACAGTAGCTCAAATGGAGTCTAAACCCTAAACATGAGCAAAGGGGTTACACTTGGCTGTCGGGGTTCAGGGGAATGAGGAGAGGTTCACCAACATAATGTTCTGTTTTGTGGGGAGCCGGCGGCGGGGGGCGGGGGGCCTAGGTTCCTTATGAATTGTAGTGCGTGCGAAACAAGGCAGCCTGCCGTATTCTTAAGTTTGTCAGCTTCCCACAACTTGGTTTGGGTTGAGGGTTGGTTTAGGAACCCATATTGGGAGTATTTGTTTTTAGGGGGTAGGGTGGTTCGATACTAGGGAAGGTGATTGAATTACAGGGTTGGCTACTTAAAGTCAATACTCGCAATGTCAGCAAAGATCACGGCAACCGGGGTTCCAACTTTAACTTTTCCGGTTACAGCACTCCGTATAGACACCGACATTGAAAGTCTTATTACTGTGGCTCCCAAAAAGGAAGCCCGATTTTTGGGAAGCCCTTATAAGTTTTGATCAGAGAGAGGACCCCAATACAAATCCCCCCGAATGCTGTAATCCTTATTCCAGAGATT